TATATATATATATATATATATATACACACACACACTAAAGGTTAATATGGTCGAATGGTTTGAGATTTTGAAAACGGAATAGTTGGATAGCAGTAATTTCAAACCCATAATAATCGTTGTTTAAACCGACATAAGAAGATCTTGGTTCAACTTTATAATGCTTGGATGAAGTTGCTACAAAATGGAAAACTAATGCATTGGCCATCGATGGTCAACAACGCAGTAATCACAACTTGTATACCATATGACATTTACTAACTTCATAGAAAAGACGACACATGTAATAATATGCAAAGACATCCAACGTTTTACATGGTACAACGATTTTGAAACATGCTTAATGAGATGAGAGAAAACAAACATATGTCAGTTGTTCTTTTTGACAAAATCAATATTGTAACCTATAATAGGTCGCATTATAAAGTGGAACATTATAATTTTTTTTTTAACTATGAAGCTAAATTTTATGTTCATATGAATATCGATATTAGCAAAAGTTAAACAGAAAACAAAATTTGAAAAGGAAGCAGTTGTTTTACTAAATTCAACACAAACTTGATATGCATGGTATGTTATAGTTCAGTAAATCTATCAGAAAGCATACGTACTGATGTTGTCTTCAGCTGAAATATTCCTTCAGTTCTCTGAAATAAAACGAATCTATACAGTAACAGTTGTCAATAGTGATTTGACATGGTTTTAGAAAAAGAACAATTCATATACGCAAGCTTGCAATTCGTTTAACAATGAATCAATATAAATTAGCCATAAACTGAAAGTAAGATATGTATAAATGATTCTACAAATACTATTTACGGCAGATGAGCAACTTATAATGCAACTTGGTCGTTTCATCTCCAATAACTTAAATCAACATGTTAGTTTCCAGCTTACCACAAGATTAAAGGTCCGTTTGGTTTGTGAAATTATGAATTGGATTCCATTCTAATCATGTGTTTGGTTTAAAAGGAAGTCCAGAACTGAAATTCTACAAACATGAGATTGGGGTAGTTAGTATATCACGGGATTTGCTTTTATAAGTTATCTATAAAGAACGTAATTCAATTTCATTTCAAATCCTACAAACCAAATCCAAAACCTTCCACATAATCCAAATTCGTCAAACCAAATACCCTGAGGGTCCGTTTGATTTGCAGGATTGTTTTTGAAGGATTTGGACTGAAATGGATTTAAAATCATTGACGTGTTTAGTTTGTAGGATTTGAAATTATGAATAATTATAAGAATAATTGAATTACATTTTTTATTAATTGATTATTACAAAGCAAATGTTTTTTAACATTTTTTTTAAAACCTTAATGCATACAATCTTACGAAACCCCGTGAAATCCTGAGAACTCTCTAAGGATTTCAAAATCCTATGTTTGAATGATTTCAAATCTGGACAATCTAACAAACCAAACATGAGATTGAAATGAATGTGAAATGCAAATTCCCTAAATCCACTTCATTCTTGCAAATCAAACAGAACCTGATTTTATTGGTTTGGGATATATAATCATATGCAAGTTTTTTTTTGTTTTTTTTGCTTTCTTTGTTCCATAATTTTCAATTAATTGAGTTCACAACCTTCAAATTTGAATAGAAACTCATATACCATTTTTGCTCGTTGAATCAGAGTTGAGAGATCTTCTCATCCATTTACATGTCTAATCTGATGAGTTTCCCAGCTACAGGTTTGAGGACCAATTCAGTTTACGAGTTTAGGTTCTATTTACAAAAAGGTTTGGAGGTTATGTTGAAAAACTTATAACCGCAAGCGTAATTGGACTTGAAAGTTATGTGTTTGGAGTGTGAAGTCTCTATAGCATATGTCTTGAGTTTGCCCATCACTTCCAATGACATGAAATGCTAATAATTTGCTTAACATGATTGAATGTAAACTTTATTAGACCACATAAAGCGTAACATCACAGCGGTATTCGATACTTTGATTTATATCCCATAATATGCAAATGTTCCAAAAGCAATAAATAAACCGGTGCAACCACAACAAATAAATGCTTAAAACACAACAATACTGCAAAAACAAACCCACAGTCTTTCCCTTGATGTAGTGCACCCAGAGAAATCAACAAAAATCCCAATAGCAGCCCATTGTACTAAAAATGCACACGATGAACAATCAACAATCCAACCAAAGCCAAGATCAAAAACCTCTTGTTTAATTCCATGCTCCTGGTTAACTTATAAATCGAGTAAAACAAGAACATATTTGATGCAATCACACTAGAATTGAGGACATTGTAGAGGTCTGTGATGGTGGGATTCACGATAGAGGCAAAACAGATATAGGAAACACTCGAAATGAGCAAAGAAAGATGGGTAATCAAGGGGCCATGGACTGGTATCATTAGAGTAACAATGAGGTAAGGACAAGGTGTGGGTGAAGGCTAACCAGTTAAGATGGACTTCAAAATCAAGCTGATATAATCATTTCTGCAAGTCGACATGGGCACTTGGAGTTGGGTTGATGCATTGCAGATCAATGTGTTCTCCATTAAATTTAGCATGATTTTTATCATCTAAGGTGTATGCCTTACATAGTCTTGACTATTGAATCTAGTATGGACTGTGGTTTTGTATTCGAGTCTGTTTCAAATTACCAAAGAGGAATGTAGCAATATGGAACTGGAAATGCCACCAATAATCCCAGTAAACTGTGACCACAAGAAACCAACTCAGATCAAGTTTTTTGGTTAAGTTCAAATGATTTTTAAGTTTTTTTTGTTGATTTCTAAGTATTCTTTAAGTTTTTTGGTTGATTTGAGACATTTTTTCAGTTTTTTAGTTGATACCCCTTGTATTTTTAAATATCCAAGAACATTTCTCAAAGTTTAGCATGTGCATATCTTCGACTTGATCATGATGACAAACAAGATAAGTTATCAATAACTAGTTTGTACCATTTTATCATGAATTTCATACATGTTCCAAGCAAAAAATGGGGTTTTCTGATTTTATGACTTGGGTAAGATTGCTTAAATGCAATGTTTTTCAATATTTCATGTATTTTTGTGGTATAAATGTGTATATTTAGCAAATATAACATATTGAGACATTTACTTTAGCTCCCAGAAGAGTAATTTCTTACTTTGCTAGCTACTTGTATAATTTTCAATTTAGTATTTTTGATGCATAGTTTGTGTCAGTTGTCTTGTTAAGAAGCTATAACAGTTGATGACTTAGTAGCATAGCTCGCAAAAATAACCACATTCATATTTTGCAAGCTACATGAATCATATTAAACCCATATTTTTTTTTTCATTTGCCTATTTGTACAAAATGGTAAAGAGTCTCCCAACCTAGAGTAGCCAGGTGGTGAAGTAAAAGTACTCCTTGTTCATACATAGGCTTCTCTGGTACGAAATGAGTCACTTCAAATAGATTAACTGTTTGGCGTTGAATACGATTAATCTGTCATGGGCTACATGAGCCTCTGCTCAGCAACAATTGAACAAGTGGTTGAAGAATTCATCATTAGTCGGTTGAAGAACGTCTTACCATCACGCGTTAGTGACCAAAAGAAGATGTCTGAAAAAAAAGTTCATCAACAAACCGTAGTACAAACGATAAGATTTCTCTACGCTTTTAAGGTTCTGTGAAGATGTTTATTTATTTTGAAGTGTTATTATTTTATAGGTGAATTACATATTTTGTCCTTGAAGTTTGTTGGTTTCCACAAAATTGGTCCCTATAATTCTTTTATTATAGATTTGTCATCCGTACTTGCAAAAATCTCGGTGATTACATTTTTTTAGTTAAAATTAGTCAAATGATGGCCATTTTGCTCAATTTATCACATTTTTCTAAGTTTCTTTTCAAAAAATAAAAATAGTTATATTATATACACCTCCCACCATACAAGTATATGATCATCTTCACCCACATCGCATCAATACGTTTTTTTCTCCATCTCCTTCTCACAACTACTACCCCACCGACACCCATCTTCTCAGAGGCTGTTTGGTAGTTTTTGAATGGTTTGGTGCAAAATGATTATGCGATCAGAATGATTAAGAGACTCTCATGATATAGTGCAAAATAAAATTTAATTGTTGGGTAATTGTTTACAATGGAATTAGGGTGCTGAATGGTTAAGGGATGTCCATAATGCAAAACTATTCAGAGGATTTTAGAACCATTAAGAGACAGACTTTTTTTTGCCAAACAAGATTCAACTATTAACGATTCAGAGGCTGCCTCTTAATGGAACTATTAAGAGGTATACAAACAACCCCTCACCATGACTACCCCACACCACATGCAACCCACTACTTCTTCACCTGATACTGCTACGACCCAATGAACACCACCCCTTCCTTGTATGCTACTGCTACAATTAACACAGGGATTATTAAGACATCAATCTCTCCTCATCGTCGTAGTCTCCCTCTGCCATGCCCTTGTCTCCTCTGTTTGTGATCTAGGGTTGATGTTATCTTGTGGAAGAGGCAACAAAGAAAGGAAGAAGAAGGAGGTATATTTATTTTAGGGTTTGTTTTGATTTAATTCAGGCTTTAGTTTGGTTCGATCTAATTTTAACGTTTTCGATTTAGTTTTGGGTTTGATTTAATTTGGAGGTTTTTGTTCAATGATTTGGTGAAATGAACTCGATTTGTTTGTTCATCAGCTTCTTCGAAATGGTTATGCTTTTGTTTATGTTTCTCGTGGTGGTTGATGTTGGTGCATCTCTTTATGGTCATTAGCTCTTCGCAGGACAAGATGAACATAATATAGTTGTTTTCATAATAAAAAATAAGAACTAACTATTAAATGACCAAAATGCCCCCTTTTCATTTGGATTTAACGATCATTATCGAAAGGGACAAAACTTAAGATTTTTGCAAATGTGGAGGACTACTCTGTAATACAAGAATCGTAAGGACCAATTTCATTGAAACTAACAAATGTCAGGGACTAAAAGTGTAATTCACTCTTATTTAGATTATAGTGGTCGACAATATTCAAATTGTGGATATGGATATTGAAGACGTTTCCTGGTGCGAGGGAATCCCACATTCTTGGCGTAGATCATCGCAGAGCCGTTTGTGTGGCACATGAGCAACGCATTGACATCGGATATTTGAACGAGGTTCTTAGAGTTTTATATGATACGCTTGACGATTTCATTTTTTGAATTTTATTACTTTATAAATAATTAGTTAATTTTAAAATATAACAAGTATAATTTAATAAAAATTAAAAATAAACTTTTAAATTTTTTAAAAATGTTATTCTTTTCATCCAAAAATAAATGTTCACAATAAAAAAAGACATAATCTTAAAAAAAATATGTAATTATTATATTTTTTTAATTAATAAAAAGACAATTTTACGTTAACTTTATAACTAAAAGTATAATAAAAAAGTAAATATTTATCTTTCAAAATAAATATTTATCTTAAAATAAATTTAAATAATAATATAAATATTTATTTTGAAATGAATCTTGTTTATTCTTATATTAATTATAACTAAAAAGGTACTCGCGTAATGCAGCGAAATACATCTGAATTTTAATATTTTATTTTATTCTTTATCTTCATCGATGTTATAATATGGTCTCATGTGATTTAAAAAAACGATGATGTTTTTATTTTTAAATAAAATATAAATTTGAAAAAATTATAAGAATTTAACAAAACTATATAGATATTAGTATCAAATTAACAATTAAAAAATCCTATTTTTTGGGTAATTTTTAATTCATTTTTTTAATTATAATTCAATAACGAAGTACTTTATATTTAGTTAAATAATATAAATTTTTTATAAAGATAAATTATTTTGTTAAAATTCAATAACTATTTTAATTATATTTTAGATTTTTTATATTTTAAAATAAGATGTTTATTTTTTATTTGATTATCTTTATCTGCAGTTAGTTACACGAATTCAAAACATGAAGCTTTAATAGGTTGTACTTATACATAATTTACTTGTAATCTTGAATTTTAAGTAATATGCATTAATACACTATACTTTATAAAAAAATAATTTTTAAGAATTTTTATTAAATATTTTATAATATAATATAGATTAAATGTCAACACTACACTCATAAGGTATATAGAGAGATATTCTATCCGGTTTTCTTCGCTAATGACGTGGATTTTAAAATAAAATAAAAAATCTGGTAGTTGCAAGCTGTAAAAAATAAAAATTGACAGTTTTGACGAGCAATCACGATCTTCCCGGAATTGCGTACCTTTCGTTGCTATCTGTGTTGCCAAAATCCTCTATATGGCCGCCGAAGCTCCACTCAGCAATTGACGAGGGTTTTGGGGTTTATGCTTTCAATTTTCAGGCCGATTATCGTTATAATCGCTTAATCAATCGTCTTTCTTTCACAAGGAGGGTCCCCTGAGTTGATTAGAGCAAACCCTTGTTGTATCTCTGCTGATGAAGAAGTTGGAAGCTGAAGATTTTGTTAATTTGGTCGTTGCTCTCAAGGTTTCTCCACCTACATGGCCAAGTCTAGTTGCTGGTGTCTTTGTTTTTATCAGTCTAACCCTTTCAATTTACCTGCTGTTCGAGCATCTATCTGCTTACAAGAATCCCGAGGTATCTCTATTCAGTCAACTCATCTATAACTTTGCGATTTTTCAGCTTTGAGTTGTACGGCCTTTTTGGAATTTGGGTGGATCATCATGTGAACCTTTTTGAACTAAAGATGTTCATGTAGTCGTCTGCACTAAGTAAAACAGAAAACTCAAATTAAAACTTGAAATTGATTTGCTGGATGATCTGCTTTTATGTGTAATTGATTTCAATCTGATGTTTGATTGTTGTTATTTGGTCAACAGGAACAGAAATTTTTGTTCGGCATTATACTCATGGCACCTTGTTATGCCGTTGAATCAGTAAGCAATGACTGAAGTATTTTCAATAAAAGCTTCGTTACTATCGTGTTTAGATATCTTTGTGTTTAGAAATATTGGTTTGCTGAATTCATCTTTGTGACATTATTAGTCTTGCATACCATTAAGAAAAGGGTGTGGGTGTGAGAAAAGGGTATTCTAAAAATGATGCTGCTCCATACAGCAGTGGAACACAAGGGGGTGGGGGCAGGGGTGGGATGGGGCAGGTTGCCACGAGAGCGGGAGTTAAAAAAGTCTTCTTTCTCGACAGTTTTTGACAGGGGGCACTTCCCCCTCCCCTTACTAAGTAGGTCCGCCTATTTGTTGTCTTGAAATTTGTTAACGTTTGGAAATAATGCCGAACGTTTGATCATGCAATGGTCATTTAGTGCTCAGCCTTTGGGAAATCTTGAATTGTTTTATGGAGCTTGATTGGGGAAGTGCCTTGAGAATGACTTGGTTAACTGTTAGCTCTTATCACCAGACTGGGTTACAAACAGCCAAACCATGACCATATAGTATTTGGCGCATATGTAAGACAGCCGTATATTTTGTCTTTTTTTTTTTTGTGTGTTCCTAATTATCATTGTCTATAAGAACGTTGTGCATTATGCATGAGTGACAAATGATCAAATAGATAGTTCAGGTTTATGTGAAAAGACAGCAGATCTTGCTCATCAGTTGTCACTTATGCTGATCAACATAAATTAGATATTTGATGAGAAAACTAGGATGTTGATCACACAGAGATGTTTTGTCACAGTAAAGGCATGGAGTCCACAGAGTAGAATGTGAAAGATGAACATGTGTAGTGTGTATGCATGGGATGTCCATGGGACAACCAAGAAAAGAAACAAAAAAGAAATAAAAGAAAACGTAAGTACAGAACGGACTGTTGCAATTGGTCTTGACTCTTGATCGATCCAAGCTGGTATAATATGATATGTCCAATCTATAAAGCCATTACCAGGTAGAGAAAAGAAATCAAAGTTGTAAGCGAAACAATGCATAACCCTACTAGAACCTTGATGAATCTAGAAATATTCCATTTCTAACCATATTATTGGTTCCCCCTACATTTGTTGCCTTGACATTTGTTCAGAACAAGCATCAATTGAAGGGAGGATGAACAAAGTCAGTTTCCATAATGGTTAAGCACTAGTTATATCGATGGTAAGGAACACTCATTCAACTTCCTATCAAATAAATGTAAAACAATAATGATATATAGAATTATAATTGAAACACTTAGATGTCATATAGCTATATCGGCTTCTATAAGAAAAGTGTGGATTTGACCTATGTGACCTATATTCTCAGAAACCCCTCCCATAAAATCCAACTCAATGAACGAGATTGTTTCTATGTTCATGCACAAAATGGTCAGCTGTAGCAACCTGTTCTTTTTATTTGTTTTATTTTAAGTACAACGAATAAGAAAGTCTACAGAAACAATAGACACAATAACCAACACAATTGGTTAATTCATGTGAGAAAGCTAGGTTTCTTATCTTTACATGTATGTGTGGAGGCTTAGATTCATGCCATTCCAATTTGCTTCACTTCATCTTCAATTATAGGTGGTTCTAACCTTAAAAGAGAAAGATGAAGAGTTGAGACATTGGAAGACCGTAGGCTAGGTATTTTAATTTGGCAATATGGTGAAGAATAGGAAAGAAGAGCTTAAAATTATGATTTGAATCAAAAAGTGATTTTGATGTAGCCGATACAAAAGAATAGCATTTTAATCCAGCTCAGCAACCTTGTTGGATTTCTTAGAAACAGTTACCTTATTTTGATTGCATCTATTTTTGCTGAAAATGAATTCTAACAATCAATTCTAAGTTCTTTATGGAAAGGCAATCAAAATAGGTTTCTCATTTTTGATGTAATTATCTTATTTGATATTAAGATTGGAGTCATGTTGTACACACTATAATTAGAACTTATTTTTGCAGTTTATGTCGCTGTTGAATCCATCAATTAGTGTTGATATTGGGATTCTGCGAGATTGCTATGAAGCTTTTGCAATGTATTGCTTTGGAAGATATCTTGTCGCATGTTTGGGTATGTTTCTTCTGACTTGGTTAAAGAAACTAGTAACCTTGACTATGATAGTATGATGGTTGACATTTTATACCCGAGGCAACCTCTTGCTTGTTTACCATCTTCCAAAACCCACCCCTTCCCCATGTGCATGGCTCCTTCCTGTATAGATTGTCTTAATTTTTTTGGAGAGTTGGGGGACATAAATTTCGTTAGCATTTTATCTTTGGTTTATAAGGAAATAACTTCCACCTTAAGAAGTTCAAATTCACATTAGAATTTTTTCCTAAATGGCATCTACTATCTCTGATAATCGTATGTTTAAATCACAATCTTGTGTTTGAATTATTGCTTTTATACATGTGGGGTGAAATAGAGATGCATAAATGTAGGTGACAGTAAAAACAAAAAAAGGTTCCATGCTTTCCGTTGTTCCTTTACTTTGGGCTGAACCTTCATGTTTCACTTTTCTTTTTCAGCTTGTAATTTTTTTATTCAGAAAGTAAAAAAAGATACATAGCTGTAAAGCTTCTATTGCCTAAGTTTTAGTAGAATAGGTGAGTCGGAGGTGGGAGGGGTGGATGTTCAATGGACTACTTGATATTAAACCTTTGCAGATATAATCAACTGCTCCCTCAAGTGTTAACACTCGGCAATAGATACAAAAATCAGATCATCATGGCAGAATAACTTTCTTCTGATATTAATAACACAGTTTGTATGTTAGATTTAGTTAACAAATTACATATAACAGCCTCAATTAATAATTTGCAACTGTGAGCATTATAGTAATTATGTAACATAAAAATAAAAGGGAACAAGAGTAGGAGATCAGTATCAGAAACAGAGGATGCTGAGTGGTACGAGATCTCGAGTCACCTGCTCCATATTATGGGCTTTTGATTCATTGAAAACCTTATGACAATGTTTTGTTTCTAGAACATAAGCTCTCAAGCAGTTCACAGCTGGTCATGGGGCATAATGCTCACTTGTATCATTTAAGTTCTGTTTAGGTCTTTATTTTTGCTTGTTCAATTATGTTCTTATGGTGGTGATGGATTTTCTTTACCTTCTGTAAGGGGGTGAGAACAGGACAATTGAGTTTCTAGAGAGGGAAGGGCGTGCGGGATCGAAAACCCCCCTACTAGAGCAAAGTTCTGAACATGGAACCGTTAAGCATCTATTTCCAATGAATCTCTTCTTAAAACCATGGCGATTGGGTCAGAGGGTTTATCTAATCATCAAAATTGGAATTGTACAGTATGTAAGTTCGCTCATGAAGAAAAACATATCTGCTCATTCCAGATGTAAACTATTTCTTTTGTTTTCTTAAGTAGAGATGTTCTCCATTTTTTTCATCTCATTGTTGATGAGAAACACATTGATTCCTTCGACAGATGATCATAAAGGCTGTTACAGCTGTTCTAGCAGTGATTCTTGAAGCCTTTGATGTATATTGTGAAGGAGACTTCAAATGGGGGTGTGGGTAAGATATTACCTACTGTCTGCTTTGATTTATTGGCATATATTTTTGTTACTTACGATATTTATGGTATTTGTTATCTTGACGGGCAACAGCTTCTTTTGTTTTGTACCTGTATTCTATATTTCTATAGTGGGCCAACTGCAATTTCTTCGATAGGTAACCTTAGTAATTACTGATTGGCCAGGGGTAGTTGGTTTCTAGGTGGCAATGGTGGTGGATTAGATTTGGGTGGGTTTTTGATGGTTAACCTCCTCTCTTTCATTCGCATACACACATTTTCCAGTTATTTTGAGGTTGATAATTTCACTTTTGCCTTTACATGTGGCAATTATTAATGCTCATGATGGTCATTCACAATTTCTCATAATACTGGGTGGGTTTGTACTGTAATTTATTAATATTCCTTTGCTTATAACGGCTTACCTTGCTTGGTATAGTAAGACAACTATACAGTATGGATTTTGCAATTTCACCATGACATGCTTGGGAGCACTCGGATAAAATCTTGACAATTTATGGGAACAGTTTTTGTGTTAATCTATGAAGTGTCAAGGTTTTTATCTCTATACTAAAAAATAAGTAATAGTGATGGGAAGTGAGATGAACATCAAATGGTCATATTCTGTTTTTGCTTTAACTTTTTGTTGTCACCTTCTTTGTCACCGCGTGCCAAATGGATTATAAACCGAAGAGTTTACTAACGTCTCTTCTTCAACTTGTTTGAATGTGTAGGTACCCTTACATGGCTGTTGTTTTAAATTTCAGTCAGTCATGGGCTCTCTATTGCTTAGTTATGTTTTATGAAATCACGGCGGATGAGCTGGCACATATTCACCCACTGGCCAAGTTTTTAACATTTAAGTCGATTGTATTTTTGACCTGGTGGCAAGGTGTGGCTATCGCCCTTCTCTATTCCTTTGGGTTAGTCAGAAGCCCAATAGCTCAGACATTACAATTCAAATCAAGCATCCAGGATTTCATTATCTGCATTGAGGTGATTTTCTTTGATGACATCTAGTTTCTGCTGTCATTATTTTTTGATCACTTACCATAGTAGGACTGGATGCTCAGTGGAAATGGTCTTTCACACTTCATGGGTGCTCCACGTTTCTTGCATTATTTATGACTCTCCATCCGTGATGGAAGGTCTAGTTTGCTATGTGTTTTATGGTATTCAGAATTTGGAGATATATCATAATGTTTGTTTGCTATTGTTCTGCTGTCTTGGATTTGATGGACCACATTTTGTGGTCAATCAATATGCGTTATTTTTCTTTCCTTTCTTATTTCTCTGTTTTAATTAATTCTTTTGCTCTTTACTTTTTAGGGCTGCAAACGATTATCCTTTTAATATGCGACATATTAGCCCTAAAAGGCCGTGGGATAAAAAAGTTTGCTGTGTAGGAGATGAACTTGAACTGCATTGATAAACTTGAAGCCTCCTTTACACTAAGGTGGTGCTTTACCACTAGTGTGACAGCCTTGGTCATAGTGAACCCTTAACCCAACGAACTGGGGTTTATTCTGAAAAATCATTTAAAGTTATCATGCTCACTGCTAACAAAGACCGAAATGGAAAGATACGATAAATGAATCATCAGACTAACATTCAAAAGTAAATTCAGTAAGGTGCATAATATATATATATATATATATATATATATATATATATATATTTATGGGCCGTCATTCTTTCACATAAATACTTAGAATTTATCGTAAATCATCTTCATGGTCTCATTTACACATCCATGAAGTACATAAGTTACTACACACTACAAGCAGACTGTGCTTCCAATCTTCTTGCCCATGCACTTGCACTTTCTCTGAATTAAACTGACAATGCTTGTTAAAGACAGAGTAGGGTGTAAACAGTTGCAAAAGAAATTGATCTAGAGACTGGGATGGTGATCCATATGAAAAGCACCTAAAATTGATATGGGTATGAAAATTACTGTTGATGAATGTAAATATTAAAAGTGAACTTTATTGTGTAATCAGATAACTGGAAACGAACTAATATGTCTATGTATTCAAATGCATTTATAAACACCAAAAAACCTGAAGAATGGAAGTAAAAATAAGAAAATGAACTATTATACAAATACAAATGCACAACTTCTACTCCATCCATACTTGGTTACATTCTCCTAATTCCCAATTACCCTTCCTTCCCCTATAATGTTCGTTGTTACTATTTATTTCCCTGTGATAGAAATGTCGTTGCTGAAGCTCTCATGTTAAATTTTAAGCTTAACATGTCTTTGTATTAATCCAGAACAGATGGGCATTGCTTCTGTGGTTCACCTATATGTCTTCCCCTCAAAACCATACGAGCTAATGGGCGATCTTTTTAGGGGAAACGTTTCTGTTCTTGGAGACTATGCATCTATCGACTGTCCTATAGACCCTGACGAGGTTAGGGATAGTGAGCGCCCTACGAAATTACGTCTCCCCCAACCTGATAATGATGTCAAGAGTAAAACTGCCATTAGAGAAAGTGTCCGTGACGTTTTTGTTGGTGGTGGCGAATACGTAAGTGTTCTTTATCTCTTGCTAATTTTATACGATTTGTTTATGGCATGTGAATTTTGTTACATATATAGTAGCGGTATTAATCTATGTTTCGCAATAATTAAGTAGTTTTCTTTCATTTCAATGTCCAATAGGCTTGCCCCCCAATTAAGCTTATTGATGTTTATTTATATTTGTGGTACCTTGATACACAGATTGTTAATGATTTGAGGTTCACAATGACCCAAGCCGTAGAACCTGTAGAGAAGGGGTTCACAAGATTTAACGAGAAACTTCATAAGATCTCGGAAAACATAAAGAGCAAAAAGGGTAGGAGAAGCAAGGACGATAGTTGCATCATCAAGACTTCACCGACAAAGAGAGTGATACGTGGAATCGATGATCCCCTTTTGAATGGAAGCTTTAGTGACAGTGGAGCCACCAAGAAAAAGAGGCATCGTCGGAAATCAGGTTACACGAGTGGAGAAAGTGGTGGGGAGAGCAGCAGCAGCGACCAAATGTACCAGATTCATGGGCGTAGATGGGTTACAAAGGAATAGCTGGTCGGATAAAGAAAACTCGAGTGGTTTTTATATCTTGTAACTCCGTGCGTGAAAGCTCCTCGATGTCATTCTCGTACATGAAGATGGAAGAGAGCCTTTTCCGACGGTAAGAATGAAGTGATTGTTGATAATATATATTTTGCTTGATGATATGGTTTATGGAAGGAAGGGAGGGAGGGAGGGAGGGAGGGAGGGGGTACAACCCTGCTTTATGTATAAACACATTCTCTGCCCTTTCGAATTGTTAGATTGTCACCATAAGCACTTGAATACAAATGAATTCGATGAATATAACGACTTACCGTTATTTGTTTTCCTTACTCTTTTCACGAGCCGGGGGTTTTCTTGGAAATATCATCGAGACAAAAGTAACATTTGTAGGTACAGGTTCAAGCGAGAACACTGATTACTTAAGAAAACAAGAAAGTTGTCGTTAATGTATAAAATCATATATGATTCATGTGATGGGTTGCATTTGAATCTCTCTCTCTCTCTCTCTCTCTCTCTCTATATATATATATATATATATATATATATATATATATATACTAGAAGCGTACTCGCATAATACAGCGAGATACATTGTGATTTTAATATTTTATTTTATTCTTTATCTCAGTCGATGTTATAATATTACTTTATGTGATTTTGAGAAAGCGATGATGTTTTTATTTTTGAATAAAAAATATGTTTGAAGATATCATAAAAATTTGACAAAAATATATCGATATTAGTATCAAATTAACTATTTGAAATTTCTCATTTTTTGTGTAATTTTTTAATTTAATTTTTTATAATTTAATTTATATACAATAACGAAGTAATTTATATTTGGTTTAATAATATA